CCGTCGTTTTGGCCTGGCCCAGAAATGGCACGGCACGATGGGACGGCTATGCCTAGGGCACTCCCTTAGCCTGACGTGCCTGTCTGTCCTAGCACTTTTTTTTTTGTTTTGAAAAAGGTATGTTAGTAAGGCCCATATCAGTCATTTATGTGGATGCGCACTGCAACAGCAAGAGGGAAGCGTCGCGCACAGTGGGCCCTAGGGCCTACCCGGAATGGCCCGACCCTTGTAAGAGGTGTGCCTAGGAAATAGGCAGAGCCCGTGGGCTGGCACGGCCCAGCATGAAAAGCTCATCGGGCCATGCCTTTAATGGGCCCAGACCATACGTGTCGAGGCCTGTCGTCCATATGTGCATGCGTGGCTTCTTATTTTCCGCATCTTGGCTAAGGATGGCAACGGGTCGGGTTCGGATCGGGTGGAGTCTCCGTGCACCCAAAACCGAAACCCGAAATCAAAACCCGAATCCGCCCCGAAAACCGATTCGGGCGGAAATCCATCACCAAAACCAAACCCGCGGATACCCGAAACCCGAACGGATACCCGAAACCCGAATGGATACCCGAAACCTGCGGATATATATACACATATTCACATGTATAAACAACAGGCAACAAATAATAAATATTTTCATGAGTCAACTTTAAATAAATTTAATAATCTAAGTAAACAAATTATTATTAGTATATTATAAAACATGAGTTTTAATTCCAAATGATTTATTTCGGATATCCATTGGATATCCACGGGTGGAAAACCAAACCCGAAACCGAACCCGAATGGTTTCGGGGCCCCGAACCCGAAAACCGTGGGTGAAAAACCAGCCCCAAACCCGAACCCGCAGAACCCGAAACCCGCGGATATCCGCCCCAAACCCGATCCGTTGCCATCCTTAATCTTGGCAACGTCGCAGCCACGTAATCAGTTCTTGGCAATGCATGACCGGACAGTAATAAAGCGAGATCATGGCAATGAACAGATAGGGATTGAGTGTTTTTGTAGCAGTGGCATCTTCTTACGATCTGTACAGCACATAGCTCATTTGCAATACCATGTTCAGAACTTGAATAAAACCATTGTCATCAAACTACGCGTCCGAATTTTATTATGTTCCGTAACAAACAAGAACTTCAAAGCAAGACACCACTTGAGTATGTAGATATATTTCGATGCTATTTTCTTGTAAAGCAATTTTGGGGTAACAGAAAGGCTTTTAAGCGCCTTATAACATGTTAATGCATTTTAAACTTGCCTCCGATTTTACGGGAACTTTCATATATTACCATGTTACATTTGATGATTGACAGTTTGACACTGAATTACTGATGCTGATGGTGTAAATGGTACTGTCAGTGTAAACATGGGTGACCATGCATGGAGAAAGAATGAACTAGTCAATTAAATAGTACATGAATGCCCTTTAATATTATATATAGGCAATTTTGTGTCTGTAAAAAAGATGCAATTAAAATTATAGACCAATTGATCTTGTTTTGCTGATAGAAATGTTAGGATTAGAAATGTTAGTACATTTGAATTATGATTACTACAGATTTTTATCCTCAGGGCAAGCTAGAACTCTTGTTCTTGTTATTTCTTTTATTAAATCTCATTTTGTTAAACTAAGAATTTTAGGGCTTATACTACGCTCTTAAGTACTACAATGGCATAAATAATCATTTGAAGTCTAAACCATCTCACTTAAGCTCAGCGGTAGGGTTTAAAGTGAGATCTAGGAAGAGGTAGCCATGCTAAACTCAAGAGGATATCAATATTTAAACTTTATATTGACTATTTACTCCAAAGGAATCTCAATGGCCATTAAGATATAGCCTCATGTAATCCGCATTAACCTCTACCATTTCTCAAGAATGATGTCTGTGGTAGTGAGTGATGAATGTGGTTTTTCACGTAGCAGGCGAATGCGAAGGCGGCGCCTGACACTAGAACCGAGGCGCAGATGGTGGTGAACTTGTCGTGGCTGACCCCGGCGCTGTAGGCGCCCAAGAGGCCGAGCCCGTCGACCAGCAACACGGTCCACATGAGGAGCAGGTAGCCGAAGCTCGCTTCTCTGTGCATGAGGAGGAGGCCGACGAGAAGCGACGAGGCGAAGGAGATGGTGTTGAAGTGGGCCTGTTTAGTAGGGCTTCAGCTCCAGCTAAAACAGCTTCGGTTGTGGCTTCTATGATGGAGTAGATTCTTTAGCGAAGCTAAAGCTATTTTGAGGAAACGTTTGGTAAAACAGCTTTGCCTGGTATTGAAAGAAGTGAAATGACCATAGTGCCCTTCTCTCTTTTTTTCTTCTTTTCTTTTCTTCCTTTTTTTCCTTTTTTTATTTCTCTTTTCTTCCGATATTATTCTCGGCTTGGACCGGCCTCCCCCGGGTGAGACCTTCTGGAGTCTTCTTGGTGAGGAAGGAGGTCGGCGCCGGGGGCTGACACGCGGGCACGGAAGCCCCCGAGCCCCCGGAGGCCGCGGGAAGCTTTGTCTTCTTGTGTCACGTCTCGGACATGACCCTGTCGGAGGAGCAGTTGGCAGAGGCACACCTAGGGAGCGGCGCCAGGGAGCCCCCGGGCATCGGTAGCTGGGGCTTGTTTTTTTGTACCCGGACCTTGGCTGGCATCGTTAGCCGGGCAAGTGCCAAGGGCCCGGCTCGGAGGTGCCTGTAGATCGGGAGCCCAAGGCTCGGGGAAGCCCCGAGCCCTAGGCAAAAGCTGCGATCGAGTCAAGCTGGCCGGGTCTCTTTGCCAGAGGGTGCGCGCGAGCATGTCCGATGGGCATAGCCCCCGAGCCCTCGGGCCATCCTGAAGGGGTCGATCGGAGGGTCTTCTTTGTTCGAAAACCGATAGACCCGAGGCTTAACATACATGTATGTTAGGATGTCGTCGCCGACAAAGACGCAATCTGCAGGTGCATCATGTGCATGTTGCTCCGAGCCTACAACTTTGCACCGCCGGTGGAGTGCATGCAGCTACAGTGCCTGCTGCTTTGCAGGTGAAGGGATAGGTTGCCCCATCAAATCACCTAGCCCCTAACCATATATGTATTGTATGTATATTTATTCCTTTAGCAGGAGCAGATTACATGTTATTGAACCATATTTTACTATTTCTGTTTGGGTGTAAGTTCTGTATTCAATTGGTGCAAATTGATTATTCGTAAATGAGAATGGTCAGAATTACTTGAACTGTTATCTAATCTTTTTTTGGTTTTTTCTGATTTTCTGTATGTTTTATTTAGTTCCCCTTTAAAATTTTCCAATTTGGCTTCCATAGAAATAATATGGTTATTTTTTTGGATTTTTTTGAATGTCTATGTGTTTTATTTGGTTTGACTTTGAAATTTTCCAATTTGGCTTCAATACAAATGATCTGGCTATTTTTCTACTTTTTTTATTTGTTGTTGTATGTTTTATTTTCTTTTTCTTTGAATTTCTTTCAATTTGCACTTCATACTAATTATCTGGTATTTTTGTTATTTTATTATTTAATTTTTGTATTTATTTGATATATTTTATATGTATCGTTAGATCTAGATTGAGCGGTTATAGGAATCGAGTGATGGCTGAGATCTGAACACTTGATTGTGTTTTTCTTGCTAACGATGCTAAGGCACTTCTACACGAACATGTCGCTGGTCTGTTAGCATCTACTCCCTCTATTATATAATATAGTGTATTCTAAGAATTTTAAGACAAATTAAGAGAGAACATAACAGACGCATATACCCTCATTTTATTTCCTAGGGTTAGCCTCTGCAAGTGGGGGTGAAGTAGTTGATTTATTAGTAGGATATGGTTGTTGCACTAAATTTTTGGAGACCACTACCCCCTCCGGCCCTTGTTACATCTGATCCCTACATTATGACCTGGATGTTTTATAGCCTTGTTGTGAGGGGGGGTGGAACTTTTTCTTGCTAACGATGCTAATAAGGCACTTCTAGATGAACATGTCGCTGGTCTATTAGCATCTACTCCCTCTATTATATAATATAGTGCATTCTAAGAATTTTAAGACAAATTAAGACGCTATCATCAACGTGATTAATGGTGATTGGTTGATAAATGGAAGGTATCTAATGTAAAATTGGTTTTTGTCCTCTAGAATGCATTATATTTGAGAACAAATTTTGAATGCTAGAATGCACTATATTACAGGACGGAGGGAGTACAAGCTCTAGCATCCAAGTTTAATCGTAATTGACCATAGTTAACTTTCTAGTTGATCTAAGCCATCCATAGCCTAACATTTGGGGCCTAAACTAGACACTAACATGAAAACTATTCCATACGGCTTATAGACGGGATAGACTCACATCTAGGTGAACACTGATTGTCAGTGTGGGCCCATGCTATGGATGTATATGCAGTCAAGAAGGCGCTGGAAGGAGTGAACTCATCGCCTTCCCAATGGGTAGTCACTAGTTCACTGCTAGTGGTCAACCTATCATTACAACTTGGGAGGGCGCCAGGGGCTAGTAGAACTGGTGGACTGATTTTCGACAAAAAAATTCAAATTTATGCAAATTTGACTATAATTAGAAAATTGAACAAAAATCTCAGTTGAAAAAAAAAAAATAGAACTACCAAAATATAAATAACTAGCAGAGGTGACAGGTAGAACTGATATTCGCAGGTTCTCGGTGAATATCAGCTAAATTTTGAACCCTCACTACCTCCCTCTCTCCTTGCTCTGATGCTCTCTCGGATTCTGATATTGAATTTCACAAAAGCTACTAATAGCACGCAAATCTTTTTTTTTTTAGAAATCTTGTATTAGACTGTTAGTTTCTTGTTGGTTTCAAGGAAATTCAACTGCCAACCTATTTTCTGTACCCATCTCCGGTGTGTCTCTCTCTTCAATTCTCACATTGAATGAGAGGTCGCTGTCATGGGCCCTATGAGCAAATCATAAGGGATCCGGTGTCAAATTCTTGGTTGAACAACAATCACACAAATAAAACTCCTCAGTTCAGTGTCTAATTTAAGCAACAAAGAACTATGATCACTTGGCGGCGAAGAGCTCGTCCATGTCCTCCAAACTCCGCCCGCTAGTCTCTGGCAGCTGCAAGTACACGAACACGAACGCGGCTGCTGCCACACCAGCATACAGGAAGAAGCACCCGGGCATGGTGATCCAGTCGGCGAGAGAGATGAAAGTCATGGTCACCAATGCACACGTCACCCGGTTCACCGCCGTGCCAAGGCTGGTGCCTTGCGCGCGCAGCCGCAGCGGGATGATCTCCGAGCTGTACGCGGGCGCCAGCGGCCCGAACCCCACCGAGAACGTGGCCACGAAGGCCAGCACCGACGTGACGCACGCCGCCGTGCTTACCGTGGACGTGGCGCCGGCGCAGAGCGTCAGGGCCAAAGAGGCCAGCGTCACCGCACTACCTGCGGCGCTGGCGAGGAGAAGCGGGCGCCGGCCGATGCGGTCGGAGAAGAGCGTCGCCACGAGGATGAAGCATGTCTTGACCACCCCTACGGCGATGGCGGCGCCGAGGATGGCGCTGTTCGATGACATGCCGGACTTCTGGAACACCAGCGGGCTGTACAGCACGATGGCGTCGATGCCGGACGCTTGCTGGAAGAACAGCACGCCGACCACGCAGACGAGGATCCGGCGCACGCTTTTCGTCGGCCGCAACAGCATCTCCTTCCACACACCACCGCTGCTGCCGGCTGCCCGCGGCGCCTCGACGGCTTGCTTGATCTCCTGGAGGCGGAGGTCGGCCTCCGCTGGGGTGTCCGAGGTGCGCACGAGCACGGTGCGCGCCTCCCCGTAGCGCCCGCGCATCATCAGCCACCGCGGCGACTCCGGCATGGCCAGCACCCCCGCGGCGAGGAACACCGGTGGGAGTGCGCCGACGGCGAACATGACGCGCCAGCCGGTGTGCACTGGCAGGCCGGCGAACGCGTAGTTCGACACGTAGCTAAGCAAGATGCCGACGTTGATAAACATCTGCACGATCGCGAGCATACGTACGTACATCAGCCAAAGAGCTAGCTAGCTGAAAAGAGGAACCACAACCACAACGATGCCGGCACATATATATACGTGCGTACGTCTAGCAAGGACGACAGGACGCCGCGCGTGGACGCCGGCGAGATCTCGGCGTTGTACACCGGCGCGACGACGCGGGCGAACCCAACCCCGATGCTGGTGACGAAGCGCGCGGCCACGAGCGCGGCGTAGCTGCCGCCTGCCGACATGGCGAGCGCTCCGGCCATGAGGAAGGCATTGGCTAGCACGAGCGTGCCCCGGCGGCCCAGGAGGTCGGCCGCCCATCCGGCGCCGAGGATGGACACGAGCATGAACAGGTTCATGGACCCCGTCAGCACCTCGATCTGCACGTCGGAGAGGCCCAGGTCCTCCCGTATGAACAGCTGCGCGCCGCTCATCAGCGCAAGATCTGCAGGCACCAAGAGCAGGATGATAAATGTCTCGTCTTGAAAGCAGGTAGCTGATCTGATCACTAATTCACTACTGAGATTTTTTCCACGTACTGTAACCCATGAGGATGGTGGTCATGGAGGCGAGCGTGGCGCAGACGAAGGCAAACCTGTTCCGGCGTGGCGCGTCGGCGATGAGGGTAGCTGAGGGGAGCAGCGGCGCCGCTGTCTCGTCCGCCATAACTCTTGGCTCGCCGTCAGTGTTGGGCGTGGGATGTAAATAAATGCAACTATGTATAACTCGTAGTTGCCAGCAAGATGTGGATATATATATATATATATATATGTATTCTAGTGGTATGCGTGAACTAGCAAGCTGTGTGGGATATACATAGCAATTGCAAAACCATCGAAGAACTGAATTGTAAGACTTCACCCACTACCCACTCTTCTTTTATCTGTCGTGACCATTTGGATGGGGATCCAACTGTGGAAGTCTTCTTCCATCACCCAATCCTCTTCATCTGTCATGACCATTTAAAAATTGTTCCTTCGCCCTTGTGGTTTTGTGTCACTAGCCATTGACCTGAACTCCTGCGTAAGCTGACAATGTTAGCAGGCATCTGTATTTTAAAAGAGATATAAACATTATTACTAGGTTAATTAGTTTGCTCATTCGTTCATGGGTTAGTTGGCTCATCAATTCGTTAGTTGTGTGGCTCGTAGCGACGCACCGGTTGTCACCTCGTTCATTCGTAAGTTGGTTGAGTCGTAATTTCATATGTTAGTTCGCTCTTTGTTATTACACCTCGTTCATATATAGCAACGCACAATGTTAACGTACTTGGTGGGCAACATAATCCAAAACGAAAGAATGATTTGTATATCAAAACAAGATGGCTGGTAAGTCTCCATATACTAAGTACTACCTTTGTATTTTTTATGCATTATTATGTTCCTGCCAAAGTACTTTGTATTTTCATATACAAAACATGATGGAGAAGAAATCAAAGACTAAGGAATAAGCCAATGCTTGGATTGAAGAATGATATGAAGCTCAACCTCTCTCTGTCTCCCTCTCACATGTGTTAGCTAAAGAATCTCTCTAGGTCATTTTCATTACCAAATCCCCTCTCTAATTGTGTTCTCTCTTTTGATGAAAGAAATAAAGATCATGACCCTCCCCTTCATTTCAAAGTGTAAGCCTCGAATCTCACTTCCCTTTATGTCTAGAAATTAAACTCAACTCAATCTCTGATCCACATGCATGTTTGATGCAAGGAACACTCTCTCCAATCTTATCACCCTCAAGCAAAGAGCTCCCCTCACTTGGATGCAAGAACATCAAGAAGACGAGTTTGAGCTTCGTGACCTCAAGTCACCAACTCATCAAGAGTAAGTTCATCAATCTCCTCTCACTCCCTAGAATATACCTTTCTCAGTCATGGTTTAGAAATTCCAAGCCTAGCATTAGCCTCTCTAAATGTTGATCAAACCCTAATCTACACAACCCTAGCATATCACCTAGACTAACCCCATATGTTCCCTAACACCACTAGAGGCACTCTACACAAGCTCTAAACCAAATACCTCAAGAACACCTTTCCACATTGGTTTTGTCGACGTTCTGACGGACCATTCAACAAACACCACTGGACCGTCAAACAGAACCGGACCATTCCAACAGCCGCGGACTGTTATACTTAGGCACAATTTCACACCAAGATCTCACAGATCGTCCAATGCTCCCACCTGTCCGTCCCTAGATTCACACAAAGACCTTGTAACTTGACCGCACCCATTGAACCATTTCCTAATAACATGGGACCATTAGTGGAACCCACGGACCGTCCGACTAATCCATTCGACAAAACATCCAGAGCACCAGCAGAAACCACTGAACCGTCTGACCGTGCACTGAATATTTTTGGTTTTATTACCACTTAACCTAGGCCCTTATCCATCCTAATCTAGACCCGCCTCTACCTCAAGGAAACACTAGTGGACCATCAAATCCCCTAGCATATTTCTCCCTCTAGCTTGTGAGGCTTAACCTTCTGAATCCTGCCAAGGTCATGAATTTTTTCCAGTTTCCCTCAACTCTATCTATACCACTTCAATGGTGGGATTCGTTATATATGAACTTATAAACATGTTGAATATTTCCCTTTAAAGTTTCTACATGTTGTTAAGTACAATTTGTATGCCCTATGATCACTGATGGTTGTTCTTGTAGTGTCTGTTACTATGACTTGATCCTACGTTTTAGCTGCGCTTGTGGAGTTTGCGCATGGTGACTCCAGGGATCCTCTTGCGACCATCGAGTTGGTGCAATGTTGGTCAGGAGGACGACACGTGACATCAGCCAGGCGGTCATGGAGGAGTCCTCGTAGCAACCTTTATTTTGATGTAATAATAAAGTATATAAAAATGAGTGAATGAAGGTGCCAGATGAAGACACTGACACTCACGCTTCCACTATCAACTAAGATAGCGTTTGATTGGGAGTCAAGATGGGGTGGAACGGTCCCGTCTTTGGTTTCTAGGATGGGACGGGGACAGGACGACTCCAATTTCTATTTGGTTGAAGAGGGATGGGACATCAAAAGTGGGATCACCCACTGACAGGTGGGTCCATTTGTCAGGTTTTTTTTCTTTTCTTCCTCCCCCGATTGGAATTTTTGCACCGACCATAGCTGCGGAATTGCCCCCCCCCCCCGCCCTACTCGCCCACCGCTGCTCGTCTGGAGTCGCTCGCCCCTGCTCACCTGAGTCGCCGGGCATGGAGCAACTCGCGCCCGCGCATGGAGAGGAACCGGGCTATGGAGCTCGTGCGCCAAAGCCGAGGGTGGAGCTTGCCCGCCACCCGTGCAAGGAGCCAGGGGCGCTGCTCTCCCACCCAGCCATGCTGGTGGATCCAGGGACGCTGCTCGCTGCTGTGTGCTCGGTCTCGCCCCCGCGCCTAGAGAACCAGCCCGCCGTCGCAGCCGCTTGCCTGAGCCCCGCCTCGCGTCAGCTCCTTTTCTTCCTCCTACGTGCTTTTCCTCACACCTACACAGGCCATCTCACCTGGGGCGACTCCGTGCTCTCGATTCGGAGGGGCAGGGGCATCCCGTATTTGAGGGGAATATTCCGCTTAGGGACCGTCCCATCCCAGCTCGTTCCCAACCAAAGAGCCCCAAAAGAGGGACCATCCCACCCCATCCCACCAACCAAACACTACCTAAAGGTTAGACCCAGTAGTGATAATATTAGAATCACTGCCGAGTCCATTGTGACTCAACAGTGATAAGTTTCTAACAGGTATGTGAACCGATAGTGGTAGGCGACACAATCAGTTCTAACAGTGATACGGTTTTAGACCCCTGCAGTGATATGTGGGTCTAGAGTAGTAAATTTAACTAAACTTTGTATTATAATAATTGAAAATATTTTGATAAAAAATGTAAAGTTTTAATTTGGCAAAATTTGCTCCTAGACACTGAAAGTGACCTCACTTTGCTGCTGGACATCGAAAATGGAGTGATTTGCTGAAAGACACTCTGATTCTTGATAAATTTGTCGGTGGACACTCCGTCCAATAAAATATTCATTGCTGGCTTTTGAGAAGAGAGAAGCACGGTGAAATATCCTTTTTGCCCCTGACCTTTTCTTCTTCCCCTCACCGAGCCCTCTGCTCTCACTTCCCTCTCACCTCTTTTCCTCTGTTCAGATCCGCCGGCAGCCATTGTTGCCCGCGGAGCTCAACCGGCCCCTCTACGACCTCAAGCACGCGTTGGTGAGCACCTCTAGCCCCTCCTCCACCTTTCCCCTCAACAAATTCTGCCTCCTTTCGCCCACCGCGCGCCAGCATGGCCGCCGGCCACGGTGAGGCTGCCCCCTCCAATCCAAGGCCACGGCTAGCATCCCTAACCTCCCCTCTCCCTTTGAGGCCTCTCCTCCTCACTTCACAAGTCACCCATCGGCCTGCCCACGTGCACCGCCACCTGTTGTCCCTATGGCCGGCCACCGGCAGGGTGGAGCGACGCATGGAGCCGCGAGCAGAAATCGGCGCAGCTCGTGCTGAAATCGACCTCTCGGAGGCCAGCGTCGGTGCCTCGCGTCGGGGCGGCTGCTGGCCACGGGGCGATGCCGGGCGTGGTTGCAGCCTGCCTCGTGCATGCTCGCCGGCGGTGGCAGCCAGCAGCACGGTGCCCACTCCCGCACCTCCTGCGTGCTCGTCCTACGACTTGCTCATCCTGTGCGGCAGCAGGGCCGGCACCCACAGCCTACGTGGCGGCGGCTAGCCGGGCGAGCGGGGGGCGGGGAGAAGAACCGGGAGTGAGGAAGAAGAAAGTGGCAGGGGCAAAATGGATATTTCACCGTGATTCTCACTCCTCGAAAGCCAGAAATGAATATTTTATTAGGTGAAGTGTTCACCAACAAATTTGTGAAGAATCATAGTGTCCTTCAGCAAATCGCTCTATTTTCGGTGTCCAGGAGCAAATGTTGCCTTTTAGTTTTGATATGAATGCAGAGTATTTTACATAGAGACACACGAGGGGGAAGGGGACGCCCACCTGCCTGCACGTGAGAAACGCGCCGCACGCGTTCGCCGGTCGACCCTCCAGCGACCATCGGCCCTCTTGCCCTCTCTCTCTCTCTCTGCCTCCTCGCCATGGTATCCACACATCCTACCTACCGCCACCGTCAGGTCAACTCTCGGCGAGGACTCGAATCTTGTAGCTAGACCTGCTTCGATCCTAATACTCTGAATAAACGCTTGCTGCTGCCGTTTCTTTCTTTCTCCGGTAGCTTTGAAAAATGTAAAATTAGAAACGTAAAATGTGCCACGTAGCCTACGTAGGGAAAGTTGATCCTAATCAGCAGTAGAGTCTCAGACAGGGATCGATCGAAATCGAATTTCCCCGCCGTTGGGCCGGGACACCATCGGATGTGCGGCACAGGATCAGACATCGTGGGGTCCCTTGATCTTGATGCATGGTTACTGCATGGGCATGGTTGCTAGCCTTGTTTGGTCAATTCGTCTACTTAATTAACTGATGAAGTGACGGCCGTACGTGATTATAGTATATGTTATTACTTCCCCCTCCCTCCTGGAATGCATGCATATGCAGACTTATAATTTGGACGGAGTGAGTAGTTCTAAAATAATTTGTCTAGCCGAACGATTTATACATAGTTTTGCCATCTTTGAAGTGAACTGATAATCACATCTTGTAAGTACAAGTAATAATCAGT